AAAAAGTAAAGTTCAATCATCACCTTACAAACATACGCTTTATAACAAAAGGAACTATCATTTCCTCATCTAATACACCATAGATTAACTATTCACACACTCTTCAACTATGTTTTTCTTAGTATACTCTCTAGTGTATTACAACATGAAAGCTATTTCCATTATATATTATAATTTCAACAAATATCTATTTATAACTTACTAAGGCAATAAGTCTAAATAAATATTTTCATTAGTTTTATAAATGTTTGAAAACGAGAAATAAAATAAGGATAATTAATAGAAATATAGTTTGTGAAACTTAACCAATTAAACTTGTTATTATTAAAGGTTTAGAATTGTGTGGGTCCATCGTGAGAAATTTACTTACTCCATTCCCTGTTGCCGTGGCAATATAAACCACATCCTCTTTAGTGCTGATGATTTGGCTTCTACCACTACCAGCCTAACATCGTCACATGCATGGACGGTGGTGGCTTCTGTTCTGTACGCAAAGGACATTAAATTAAATAATAACATTTTTAATGGTCCTACGTGCTTTATTAATAATCATACACACCAATGATGCTTTAATATATATATAGTTATATTCCATCATAGCTAAACGAATAAACCTCTTCTTTTACTACCCAATCTTTCCTTGGTATGAAAATCTGACACCCACTAGCACATCCTATGAACCAATTTATACAGTTTTCTTCAAGTGAAGCATGTGGTGGAGATAACACACTGTCAACATGCATGGAGTCATATATATATATATATATTTTGTAAGTAAATGCAAGTATCAACTCCTAACTATAGGATAGAAGCATATACTTAATGAAAAATGGAGCAGTTATGGAAGAGAAAGTAACTGAAAAGGAAAGAGAGATGAGAAAGTCTTACATTTGAAAAATGACGATGCTCACCACCTCAGAAATAGTTTGTCACCTCGCACATTATGCGTAGTGGTGGGCTCCTCCTACAAATTCATATGTACATAAATGAATATATTTTGTAAGCCACGAACGACCATTTCGTGCAGTAGAGGTATTACATTGGGACACTCTAGTTTACTTTTGGGTAAAGGTACTGTTACGTTTAGTTTCGTGCCACTCATTGCATTTGTTTTTATCTCTATTCATGTTAATGTTCATAAAGTCTAGATATTATTTTATTTTAAATAGGTTTTGTTTATGTGGTTCGAACTGCTAGGCATGTTTCAACGCATTGATTATTTAACACATAACCCATGAAATGACTAATACTTACTAACTTGCTGTTTTTAACAACAAGCAGATTCGAGTGGAGAGTATCGAACTATAAATTCACGATTTGGGTTAGTAATCCTTTCATCTACTTAATCACAAGTGTATTGTTTTTAATACACTACATAGAAAGCACTATCTTCTGCTCAAATTTGGTGTGTTGATGCTTAAACTTTTCTACTCTTGCTTTGAAACTTTTGCACTGGGCATGTTTTAGTTGGTTTCTATTTCATACTTTTTTCAGTTGCTCATAATCTTGTAAGATCATCAAAGTGCAAATATAGTGCTCATTATTCACTGTTATTGAAGTTTGTTGCAGATTTGAAATTCAGCTAAGATGGACTCTGCTCTCAGGACTGTTGGAGTCAAGTACGAGTGCTTGCTTTTTGGTATGAATGGTGCAACTCTATAACCTTTTAGCCTCTTCATTTAACTTCCCTCCAGCCACCTAGAAAATTTTCCATTGAAATATTGACTCAGTTTTATCTGGTATTGCTTCAGAATTAGCAAACGTTAATTCAGAATTCAAGGCTAAAAGAAAAGAAAGAAACGGAAGAAAATATAGAATTCAATTTGCCTGTTTCAAAAGGGGAAAAAAGGGTTAATGATGGTGTGTTTCCCTCTAAAATAGAAGATGGAACTAATTTCTAATTCCAAATGTTTGTCACAGATATGGATGACACTCTCTACCCGCTGAGCATAGGTCTCAATTTGTTTTGTCGCAAGAACATTCAAGGTACATATTCTAGTGTTATAACAAAATCTTACACAGTCTAGCGTTCAGGTAATCTCATGTGATACAAGTACTATAGTTAACCAATCTTTTACTTTTTGCAGAGTATATGTTAGAACACTTGCATATTGAAGAAGATGAAGTGCCAAAAATGTGCTTGGATTTGTATAGAGAATACGGAACAACTATGGCAGGATTGAAGGTATGAAGATTTGGTGCTGCCCTTATTTTTCTCTTCATCATACTTCTGAAATTGATTCACTGTCAATTATATATGATCTCAGTGAGTTTATACAGTCTGAAGAGAAATCTTTTTCTACCATGTTTCCTCGCAGGTCCTTGGTTATGAATTTGACAACGACGAGTTTCATGCTTACGTTCATGGAAGGTTACCATACGAGAAACTGAAACCTGATCCAGTATTAAGGAATCTTCTGCTTTCCATGCCTCAACGTAAAATAGTATGTCGAGAAAAAAATTAAACCTTATACATTTATAAGTTTGTTCAGTGAAGAAGAGCCTTCCATAATATCCTTTGACTTGAAAATGTTATTTCCAGATATTCACCAATGCAGATCACGCACATGCAGTTAAAGTTCTCAACAGATTGGGTTTGGAAGATTGTTTTGAGGGCGTCATATGCTTTGAAACACTTAATCCTAACAAACAAATCAATTACATGGATTTACCGAATGATAATCATGTTCTCACAGATTTAACAGAGAGTGGATGTTTCAATTCCCAGACTCATATCCTCTGCAAACCCTCTGTGGAAGCCTTTGAAGCTGCTATTCGGATTGCTAATGTGGATCCGAAGAAAACAGTAAGATTCAGCACTACCTAAAAGCGACATAGGATTATTACTTATGGGGTTATTTATATTATTTTTTGTAAAACTCTTGGAATCAATTCATAACAGTTCTATCCTATCTTCTGCAGATTTTCTTTGATGACAGTGTTAGAAATGTTGCAAGTGCAAAAGTAGCTGGACTTCACACTGTTTTAGTAAGCTCTAGTTTGCAATCTATGCATTTTATACAAGAAATTAAATAACTCCACATTCATGTTCATTTGTTATGCAATACTGCAACGTAAACTAACAAGTAATTGATGGCAGTTGGGTAATTCAGATTTGGTGCCTGGTGCTGATCATGCCCTGAATAGTATTCACAATATCAAAGAAGCATTACCTGAAATATGGGAGATTGAAGAAGGCAACCAACAGCAAAAGATTCAACCCCCAGCAGTGGAAACCATGGTCCTAGCTTGAGTTTTGCTTCGACGAAAGATTTTAGCACACTTATCAAGCAGTCGCGGGGTTTCAACCTAAGCTTGTGTCTATCTAAATTTACAATAAGTTTGAAATCTCTCCATATCATGGCGATGCTTAACTATATAAATCTTCAAGTTGGCACATTGAATGGATGAGAAACTTGTAAATGTATATTGCAGAGCTAAAAAATGGAGGGAGAAAAAAATATACTAATATACTAAATAAGGTTTTTCGTAGGTCTGGTAAATGGTAATACGAGACATGTGTGTTGTGTATCTCTCAGAAATCAATAATTCAGACGCATATAATCATATCAAATATCCATATTCTTACACTCTTTTGAACTTACAATCCTAATTCACAGTTAGAAAATTGTACTGCACTTCAGTGTTAAGATCAAGTATATAGTCAGTTCACTAACCTGTGATTCAAGTCTGTCAACATCCATTTCATCAATGAAATCTACTGACACATCATGGAATTTCTCTAACCATGGAGTCTACAACATACATTAACATCGTTTACTTAGTAAGGTCAAAACATTAACAAATTTTAAGTGGTGTGTCTGTAATGGTTAAAATGGGAAACTTTTGGATGGCTTAGCTAAGCAATTGGGCATTAAAGTAAGTGAATCAACATTGCCAGAAATATTTGTGTATAATGATGGACCAGAAGTTGTTGCAAGTGTATTTTGTCAATGAAGAGAAAAAGAGAGTTCACTATTGATCACCAATTTTGCCAACTGCATCATAAAAAATGGGTTAAAGTAATGCATAACAATTTGAGTTTAAGAAATTAAAGAAGTTTCGTGACAGAAACACAAATTAAATATGAAATTGGATACGTAGAACTTTTTTGACAAAATTACATTTTTAGTTTCTTTTTAATTCTTCATATTTGATTTTGTTTTTTTTAGTCTCATTTTAGAAAATTCACAATTTTGATGTAATACTTAATTTTGTATAGGTTGTTTTTTTCTTTTCAACTTCATGGTAATCCTAACATACTTATCCAAATACTATAAAAATATTTAATTAATTAAAATATGAAAAAGAAAAATAAATAATGAAAAAGAATAAGACACAATTTATAAATTAACATATGTTTTTTTAATCAAAATAAGATATTTCAAACTAAAAATTCATTTTCATATTTATATTTAAGTAAAAATTCATCGTTATTCTCGTTTTTTATATTGAATGATATGAAATTTTTATTTTTATCTCAATTTCAATCGAGTGAAAGGTATATCTTTATTCGTATATCTAATTCTTATTAGAACTTGACAAAATTAATCGAACTGATATGAATTATGAAAAAATATATTGTACTAAAAAGCAATTTTTCTTCATTGAAAAATTATTTCAGACAAACTGAATTTTTTTATATTTTAACAAACTAAATTGAACTAAACTATCTTTTAAAAACTTTAAAAAATAGAGAAAAATTAATTAAGTAGATAGAAAATATTTATCTTTAAAAGTAAAATTCAGTCAAATATAAGATGGGGTTGACTAGGTCAAAATCGTCCAAATTTCAATAGGGACTGACTTTGTCAAATTTGAACAAATTTCAGTCACGCCTACTGATAACTTAATTTCTATACTCTTTTGTTGTTGAAGTTTATTACATTTTTTTAGCATATTTGTTTCCTTTATTTTTCAATTCTAGCTTAGATTGGTGTATCCTAAGAAGCTTTAAGTTTTACAGTCGAGTTGATAGGTGTCGAGTTGATGGATGTTGAGCTATGGGAGTCAACCTACTTGGAGCCAACCTACTAGGTGCCAAGCTTCTTAGCTGCAGACCTACTGAGTTGCTGGCTTGAACTGCCAGGCTTCTAAACTACCAAGATCGGCTGTTACACTGTCAAACTACTGGGTAACTGTGTTGCCAAGCTGTTGAGTTTATATTCTGTCGAGGTGACAAGGATGAAGGCTTAGGAACCGAGAACAATACTCCTTCGTGGAAGAGTTCTAGTCTAGTTTTAGGTTCTCATTTTTATTTGCTTTTACTGATTACCATGAGCTTCAATGCATTCATTTTCGAGTTTCATGTTATATGCAATTTGGTTTCTTCTACTTTCTTTTTTTCATTCTTTTGTAATTTCCTATTTCAGTGCTACAATTTAAATACTGTCATGTTCAATTTCAATTTTTTGTTTTAATTCAGCTTCTCAAATATTGGTCGGTACCTACTCAACTAAATTAAGAAAAAGTTTGGTTGAGATTTGCTGGGCAGAATGCGGCCAAATTTCGATTGAGGCCAACTCTGTTGAATTTCAGTCAAGATAGATGTTGGTTATTTTAAATGTTTTAAAATAAATCTCCTATTTATTAAGGAGAATAAGTCATTAGTCAGTTAGCATATTTTATTCCTAGATAGGTGCTGTTTTTAAATTTCAGTAACTGTCCATTATGCAAAGCAGTTGTGATGTATTGGTTTTTTTTTTTTGGCTTTTATAAGCCACACTTGATTAATCAATAAAATATACACTTAGACAAATTTTATTCTACGTATCTATTTTATAACATTAGGTCGAATTTTAATTATGAATGACTCGATCGAATTCAATTTAATTTCAATTGGAATCAACTCAGTTATAAATAGTTCAATTTTTCTAATATAATATGATAGAGTTCAATTTAGTTTAGTTAATTTTGTCCACCTTGATTCTCACTCTTTCTAATATTAATCAAATATTTTAAAAAATTAAAAATAAAAATCTCAATAAAATGATGGTGATATTATAAATGATTTAATTTCAGAAAGATACATTTTCTTTTCTATATCTAAGAACAAAATTATAGTTATATAAATATCTAATCACAGTACAAAATAAAAAATAAATAAAAGGTTAAATAATTATATAAAATAGAAAATAATTACGCTGAACTGAAATTGCATGATAATACAACATCCATTATTGCAAAATGTTTGTAATATAAACTGTAATAATTATAAATGTGTCTCTAATTAGATAAATCATATTGAAAGACTCATAATTTAAAATGGTGGATACTGGTAAGAAATATTCAGACAATAGATTTTGTTACATTATAATAAATAAAACATAACTTGTGATGAAATTACGCTCATAAAAGGTTAGAAAAAAAAACAAAGCTGTATAAAGGTTATATTTTTAATTATTTATAAGTTTTGTAGCGAAACAAAGTTTTTTTTTCAAAATGAAACGAAATAAGAGTTAAAAAAGGTTATATCTGTAATTAACTATGTACTAACAAAATTAGTTATACAATTAATGTTTTCACCTTAACAAGTAAAACCACGCTACGCTTTAAAGATTGTTTTGTGAGCGACAGATTTAACAACATGGTAGTTTTGTGTTTTTGTAAAAGAAAAAGAGTATGGTAGAGGAGAATAGAACACCACAGAAACAATGCGCGCCATTCCAGTTTCCTCAGAATCATACTCAGGTTTTCTATTCCCTCAACCACTCGCTTCCTTTTCCCCTAACTCCATTCCCATAACCCACTCCTCTCTCTTCTTCTTCCACCCTTTTCATTTCAAGATCCATCATTCACTATCCTTTCCCAAACCCTGCTCCTCCAAGTCCACACCTTTCTTGTGCACTGCTGCTTCAGAATCCGACCCCATCACTTTGGGTGATGTGGGGGTTGAAGAGTCGGAAGAGTCCTTAGTTGATGATGGGGTGTGCGTAGAGGTGATGAAACTGGACAAGAACTCGCGCAGAATCGAATCGACAATTTCCATTGAAGCTTCTCTTTCTTCCATTTGGAACATCTTGACCGATTACGAGAGGTTGGCTGATTTCATTCCTGGCCTAGTTGTCAGTCAGTTGCTCCAAAAGGGTGACAATTATGCCCGTCTTTTGCAGGTTCCTCTCTATCACGTGTTGTGCTCCAAATAGGGTTCTTAAAGTTTGATTGTTTTTTTGGAAATTAGTTGCATTTTCTTGACATTAGTTGCATTTTCTTGGCTGTTTGTTTCACGCTGCATTGTACTGATTTGATTAATCTCAAATAAGGTACCAGGGTTGTTTTAGGCTTGCTTTCATTTTCTGAATGAAAAGTTCTTGATTCTTTATTAATTTGGAGATGTAATTGGAGTATCTCTTTATGTTCTTGTTGAAATTTATTTGTATTGGACAACTTTTTATAAAAAGAGTCAAACTTTTTATAAGATTACATTGTTTCCTCTGAGTTGCAACCTTTACAAATTAGTCTCACTGTATGTTTTATATTACTGTTACCTGAACTAAAAATTGACATCATTTGAAGTATTTTCTTACCTAATGTATTTGACTTGAACTATATTTGTTATTGTTACATTACCTGAACAGATTGGACAGCAAAATATAACATTTGGGGTAAAATTCAATGCTAAAGGAATTGTAGATTGTTATGAGAAAGAATTGGAGACTCTTCCTACTGGTATTAAGCGTGAAATTGAATTCAAGATGATTGAAGGAATTTTCAACTCTTTGAAGGAAAATGGTCTATTTTTCAGGTAGGAATTAATATGTTCCCTTGATTTCAGAATTCTTCTGGATCCAGGATAATATATACCACATCAATTTGCATAATGTGAGGCACTTTATCATAATTATTTTTCAAAGGTCAAACCTTTTTTTTCTGAGATTGACATTGTGAAATTCTACCTGCATCATTCATGGCTGACCTTCCTTGGCGAAAAACTAGGAGTGGAGGATGATATCATAGCTTGGAAACTTAAGTTTAGTGATTATTTTAGTCTGTTGACTAAGATGTTATTATGATTTATGCAAAACTGGACAGCTAGTATTTATTTTGACAAAAAGATGTCTCCTTTGCTTTTAGCTATTGACAAAAAGGAATCCCCTTTGTTTTTAACTTGTTTCAATATTCATTTTGAAAGATGTTGAAATTTTATACTATTTTAAAACCACGTATTCAACGGGGTTGTTAACATCCTATGCAAAATTAATCAACCAATTGTAATGGTTTTGCAGCATTCGAACAGTGAAAATTGTGAGCAGTCTCAAGTCCGAGGAGTTAGTACAACTCTCTCATACGTTGTTGATGTTAAGCCGAAGCTGTGGTTGCCTATTCGTATCATAGAGGGTAGACTTTGCAATGAGATAAAAATGAACCTTGTATCAGTCAGGAACGAAGCTCAAAAAGAGCTAGTTGTGTAATTCATGATATATTGTGGATCATACAAAATTAATACAAGTCCACTTTACTCCTTGCTCATTGGTAAATCTTCAAGCTTGTGGTCTTAAATGCCCTCTATGTAAAAATTTCTTCAAGGTCCGCCGACCCTGATCTTTACATTGAAGGTTGAATCAATGTTTCATTTTAGACTTGAATTTTGGGTTTGA